CAGGGATGGCGATTAAAGCTGAACCAATCCATCCCCTATCCGTGAAAGTCAGCAGTCCTATGAGTCCTTCAGGGATGGCAATTAAAGCTGAACCAATCCATCTCCTATCCGTGAAAGGCACAAAAAAAACCGTATCAGTACAAGTTAACTAGTTAAGTAGCATGTGGTTACTTAGCCTTGGCTGCTATGACACAACTGAAAGGCTAAGCGCGTTGCGACGCGCTGTTTTATAGTCAGAATCACCACCGCTGTCCCGTTACATGTATGTTCTAGACTATACTGGCTTACATATGTATTGTGACGATATTCTTACACACCTAGTGTTACGTATGCCATTTTAGGTTGGCTTCAACGTGTTTGCCTGTCTCCCTGTTACAACCTCAGCTCCGACGTGTATGAAAATACTTCTCTTATATATATCTTAGCGCTAATACTACCTTACGTACCAACTCGTGTGAACTTATTACCTGCAATGTACATGGGTTTTCAAACCCTTCATGTATAACTTATGTCTATTCTATTGCTATCGTATGCTTTTATAATGCTGAGCATGCCTTCATTTGCTTATTCATGTTTGTATATGTTACATTTCATGTTTGTATATGTTACATGCGTTTATAATTTTGAATACATTTTTCTTTTATGTGTGTATGCATTTGAATGTTTTGTACGATCTATCTATTTTACAACGTTTGCACATTGGTGTTTCTGTTAGGAAGTTTTTACATTGGATTCATATATTCTACTGAGTTTGTACATTTGTGTACATTTTAGAGAATTCACGCATTTGATTCTTATATTCTACAAAGTTTGTACATTTGTGTGCGGTGCACACATTTGTATACACTTCCTAGCTAGGTACATTCTCTGAGGCTATAGTATTTAGTAAGTGCCATATATAATTTCTCTTCTTAAGTCGTCTTATAAACATTGGCTTGCACGGTGTGTGCGGGAGACGACTGATCTGTGCTGCTGTAGAGAAAGGAGATCTTTAAGGCATATTCCTTCTCTAGTGCGGATGGACAACCTAAACCGACTGTTTTTGGCCAGTATTTGGACAGACTTGTTACCAGTAAGGAAGCAAAACGCTTCGTTACAACGTTTTAAAGTAACATTTAAGCATCAAACGAGCCTCACAATAATGCCGCTTCTCATACTGCATTGATTCTTTAAAATTCTTTTAGAAGTTCAACTAAGGTTGCTCCGAACCCACAATAATCATCGCAATCATTCCATCTAAATTCTAGCTGCTTGGAGACTAAAAAAGCCCTGTGAATGCTTTTTTCCATTGGGTTGAAGAACTAATTATCGAAAAAGCTGCAAATAAGGCGGAACTTTAGTTAATGCAACTACTTAAAGAGACTTTTCGCTTTACTTATCAATCAAATATTGTATACATTCTAATGAAGGACATTACACAAATCGCTTCAAATGCAATTTCTTAATGCCATATATCATTGATTTGATACAGCCACACACTACCGATGGCAGCAATAATAATAAAAAAAATTTTGAATACATGAATTAAATGAATGAAAATTCGAATCCACTATTCATGCTGGTAATGTAATAGGTAGAGTTGACGACTAATGTTTTTAATAGTGGGAACTAACACTCTGAACAAGTTGAAGTCTTTCTTTCTCCAATTCTATTTTCCCGTTTAAAAAAATCCAAAACATGCAAAAGAAAAAGTAGGTAAACTAGGAATAGCTTACGGTTTATAAAAGATATCGGTACAAAAATTGATTCAAATTGTAGCCACAGTACAAAACAAAAGGTATGTATTCGTATAAGTACACTTGCGCTATAATAAGTATGTACAGAAAAATAAGAGTGAAACATAAACACACACACATATATACAACTCGTCAATTCTTGTTTCTTAAATGCGATACACTTTATTTCATATACTTTCTTTTGTTTCTTATTATTATCATTAGTACTATTGTTTTTGAAATAATGTGATTAACTTAAGTTTTTCGAAAAATATGTAACGTTTATCGTAAATGAAAAAACGTAAAATTAATTATTGTAAAACAAATGAATTGAATGCATTTGGATTCAAATAAACAAAAGTATTATGTCAAAAACAGTATTTTAACACTAAGAAAAAATAAAACAAAAAATACGATATAAATAACTTTATTTACACTATTTTGGTACATTCCTCAATCGCTATCTACATACACTAGCACGTCATCTACTTTTTGTCAGCTTTCGAGGAACGTCTAACATCTTATCCCTTCCTCAGTATCCCATAAAAAACATTTCTTGTTAATAAAAGAATTCTGAAAATGTGTGCCCAGTATTGAGAAGGCTTGTAAACGTGTACATGTCCAGACATTATCATGTTTTGTTATATATATATATTTTTTTTTTTTCATGATATATCCATTTTCCTGTTTTTTATACCC